GAATGTTAGAATCATAAAGAAATATGGGAAAGAGACTGTAAGAGAGGCCACATCATGTACTTTACATTTTGGGCAGTGACCAAGGACAACAGGGATGTGGGTAATGCTGACCACAAGAAAATGTCCATAAATAATCCCAGAAAATCTGTGGTAGAAAGAAGAGAAGTTTCAGGAAGAATTAGTTGTGGCCTGGACCAGCAACTACAGACTCCGGATCCAAGTGACTAGGCTGGAAATGTAATTACTTGAATCCTAGGCCTGATACTGCATTCTAGAAACTACTCCGTCCTTGATAACCTTCTTCAATTTCTCTGGACTGCATCTTGCACATATATGAAATGAGGACAATACCAACTCAGAGGGCTGCTGTGAAGATTAAACAAAACCACTCATGAAACATCTAGCTCACAATCCAACTACCATCACCAAATTTTACCTGTAGCCTGCCATCAATTATATGCTTCATATAGTAAAGGAACCACTGTCATAAGAGGGAAAAAAAAAATCTGATCTTTCAGTCAAATGAAGGACAAGGGAATCCTTCTCTCCTAAACAAATGCTTGCACAGGCAGGAGGAGAGCGAAGCCACTGCCTGGGATATGAATCAACACTTTCTGGTACACTCCTCCCTGTGTGAACCTGCGTGGATGAGTCAGTTCCCTGTGGCGTAGTCTTTAGAGAGTTAAGACAGCAAACCACAGGGCTGAAGGCACCATGGGGGTAAATTCTGCACTTGTCCACCATACTTACCCAGAAAGCTGAACCTGTATCTGGCCCTCTTTGCAGAAAGCTGCCATGTCTTTTGTCTCCCCATTTAGAGTACATCCTGGCTACAAGTGGCTGTAACTTGGGTGAACCCCAAGTGTCCCAGTAAATCAAGTTATAAGGTAGCCTATACGCCTAAATTTACTAAGTAAAACTCTATTAAGTCTATTGCAAGTTATTCTGCATAGAATTTTATAATTTTTAAATAGGCCAACATTAAAAAAAAAAATTGAAACTCTTGAAAAAGCAACTTTCCATACGCCATCCATCAATGGAACTGAATGGCACTGACTCTTGCCTTAAGGGCTGGGAAGGTATACTATGGATGAGTTAAATTCACTCTCTAGTCCTTAACAGTCCAAACCAAACTGTCCCAATTAAGAGATGTGAACACCAACATTGGTCAAGAACTAGTAACATCATATTCAACAATCATATCTGACTGGTGCTGGAACAGACTATTTTGGTGAAAGTTATATATTATTTCACAGTGTATTCACATATACACACATAAAATTAGTTGGATTAAATGTAAAAATTGAAAATGAGGAGCTGGAGAGATGGCTCAGTAGTTAAGAGCATTGGCTGCTCTTGCAGAAGACCAAGGTTCAATTCCCAGCACCTATATGGTGGCTAACAACGGTCAGTAACTCCAGTTCCAGGGGGTCTAACACCCTCTTTAAACCTCTGAGGGCTTTGTGCAATATGGGTACATGTACATAATGCAGGCAATACATTCATACACATAAAATTAAAAAAATAAATACTTCAAAAAATGAAATAATAACTGGTGGTAAAATTGAGTGCTTTCTAGTTCATTCTTATATTTTATCTTATATTCTATAGTAAAATATGCGATTACTTTTACAAAAAGATAAAACTAATTATTTAAAATATTTTAAAGGATGAATAAAATTAAAAACTTCAAATGTGCTGCTGTGCCAAGATTTGCTTACTGGTATACAAAAAAATTACTACAAACTAGAAATGTCAGCAGTATGCTTTCTGAAGCTCTTCAAAGACTAATCCATGATTTAAAACTGTTTAAAACGTGAATATACTATGTATGCATTCTAAGCTGAAAGATTCAAGGGCATTATATTCCCTTAGGATGTTTTATAGAATGCCTATTTTTAGGAGTGTTTCCAAACTCTTGAGATGACAAAACAAACAGCATTTTTGCAGAAGGGACATTAAGAGGTGAGCAAGAAACAGAAAAATAAGGTTCACAATATGATTCCAGTATTTACAGCAAGTATTAGTATAACTATAAACATGACCGACCTCATTTCCTCACAGCAGAATTGGGTCTCTGAAAAAAATGCTAGACTCTGGACCAACCTGATGGTTCTTGACATCATTTCTAAATTGTTTCTTGACTATTATAAGCCTATCTATTTAAACTAGAATAAGACCTTATATTTCAATTGAACACCGGGGGAAAAAAAGACATTTGTTTCATTAAGAATTAGACCCAGAGAAAGGACCTAACATTTAGTACAGATTCTCAAGAAGGCATTCACAGAGTATGGGCAGGAGGTAAGTAAAAGTCTCAACCGTGGAGTTTCTTCAACCATCAGCATCCCTCCTCCCTTCACTTGGGTTCTCCACAGCAGAAATCAGCATTCTGGAGAATCAGTACTAAACTAGAGCTAGAAGTGTATTCAGTCTCTTAGGATTCTGAGAAGATTACGTCAGCCAACACTATCAACTTCTATGCTTTTTTGATAGATTAGAGAAAAACTAAGTTTTGCATTACGTATGTTGACTCTCCCACCTTCCCCACACCAACCCGGGCTATCTCCTAGCTCAAAGTCCCTCCAAGTTATCGGATAATGCTCACAGAGAAATATGCTTGATATTTATGGACTCCAATCTTATTAATATGACTAGATGACTAGCTAACCCAAGAACAGCCAATCCAAAAGTGCCACCTCGGCAAGACTGCATAAAAAGAAAAGCTGGGCTATATCCTGCTCTTGGGTCTATGTCTCAGAAACACAAGAGAAGGAAGCAATAAGCAAAGAAGCAAGATGAACAGACAGGAAAGAGACAAGGAGCCAGGGAAAGGCCAAGTGTAAGGAGACTGAAAAAGTAGGCCAAACTTAGGATATAAAGAAACACAGTATAAAAACAGATTTAAAAAAAAAGGACAACCAAACTCAAAGACAACAATGGAGCTCCAAAAGGAGTATTCGTTACACTGAATAAATCATGTGTCAGCCTATCTTAGATGAAGAATTAAAATCTGGCTCCAATTTCCTAAGACACATTCCAGGGCCTGGAATGATGACACATGCCTATAATTTCATTTGGGCAGGAGGATAACAGCCTCCATTACATAGTGTTTGTGGCCAGCATGGGCTATTTGTAACAAACCACCAACCAAACAAAACAGTCACTCCAATAAGATTATCATTTGTATTAGTCACTTTTCTGTTGCTGTGATAAACACCATGACCAATGAAACTTGTAGAACTAAGAGTTTATTTGGGCTTACAGTTGCAGAGAAATTGTCCATCATGGTGGAAAGGCATGGCAAGAGGCAGCTGGACCAAGCTGAGATCTTCCCACACACCACGAAGCAGAGTGGAAGTGGAACGAGGCTCTGAACTCTCAAAGCCCACCCCAAAGTGACATACTTCTAGCATGGCTATACCACCTAACAGTTCCATGACCCTCTCCAAACAATGCCACCAACTCATCAAGTGTTCAAGTACTTAAGCCTATGGGGGATACTTCTCATTCAAATTACATCATTCTTTTCAATTTTCATTAAAATTATTTCTGGTATCTTTTTACATACATTCAGTAAGCTATCCCACCCTAACCTGAGCCAGCTTAAATCTCTCTGTTCTGTGCTATCTAGGGAGCATATATCTAAAAATTCTGAGTGAGCGTCCCAAGGCCAGAGTGTAACAAATGTTAGATCACTCGATCCCCAGGGTTCTGTAGGCATTCTCCCAGAAAGACAAAAAGTGAAGAGCTGAATTTCATGGCATAGTAAAACCTGAACAGATTAAGTGTGTGTGGGGGGGCAGCACAAAGTTTGGGAAATAACAACTAAAAGTGATACTTTAAGTAAAAAAGCTGAAATATAAGAATGGCTGATGAAGGGTGACAAATCTCTTAAGATCTATAAAGTAAGATCTTGGACCTCATTCTTGGATCAATGAATAAGGGTAGATCCTTTAAAATTTGATAGGTAACGCTAAAAAAAATTGAAATATTAAACACTGGGAACCTGTGTGCCTAAAGTTTCAAAACTGGTCCGATATAAAAATATTTTAAAGACTGGCATCAAGGAAAACAGTCACACCCCACAAAGCACAGAGATATGGTACCAGAGATAGGACACTGTGAAAGATGAATCACAGGTCACTCCATTAGGAAAATGTCTTTATTATTTTCTTCAAAATATACATCTTGTATCAAATTTTCTAACAGTACAAAAATAAGCATTTTAAAAGTACAAATTTTATCATAATGCACTTTGTAGGATTCATACGTGTCCTTCCAGAAACGTTTATCTGCATACATACACATTCATATCATACAGAAATGCTCTTTAAGTTGCATTTCTGTTACTTGACATATTTTTTCTATATAATTATAAATATATAGTTCTAATTCTATATAATTAAGCATTGAACAGCTGTATAATGCTTCACAGAATGGATATAACAGTTTAGCCAATCTCTTAACATTTAAGTCACTGGCATTTTTCTACTCATATAAATTTTCTGTGACTATCAGTGAACATACAACTCATGCATCTGTTTGGCCATTTCTATCAGCAAATTCCTGTATTACTATCAAAATGACATCAATGTTTGGGGCTAGCAAGATAGTACTGATCACAGCAACCCACAGTCAAGTAAATAAGACTCCAAATCCCATATGTAGGCCATGGAGCAGAAGAAGGATCCAGCCAGGAAATGGAAGGCAAAGGAAGAGCCAGCAAAGTCCTAGCTTTCCTTGTGAAGAAATCCATACAATCACCTGGTGGAGAGAGGCAGCTGTGAACTGCTAGTTCTTCTGCCCTCAAGCCAGTCAGAGGTCCCCATCTGCATCCAAGCCTGGGCAGCCTGACTCTGACAACAGATCATTTGGAGAGGCCAGAATGAAATGCATGGAACATAAAGCAAAGAAACCGAAGCACGCAGTTAATTCAGAAAGAGAAGGAGGGCATAAAAAATGAGAAACCATTTTTCTTTAAAATATGACAGATTTACCTTTTGCATAATGTAGTGAAATGGCACTGGATTTCATGGTGATCCCTCGGACCTGCTCATCTTCTCTGCTGTCCATGTACCTTAACTGGAAAACCACAACATAAACATCCGCACTTTCCAATGAAGAAAATGCTACATTAAAATGGGCTTAGATTTCATTTTAAACATGCAAGCTATATAATCTTCTTGTTTACTTTTAAGTGTTAGAAAGGAACATTAATCAAGAGGAATAGCACATACACAAACTGAAAGGCACTGCCGAGAGGGAGTCACAAATGCACTCAAACCCTGCTTCCCCAGAATGCTCATCAGTCAAATTTCAACCATGAAGGATTAAGCAGTTCAAGAAAATCCATAAAGGGTAGCACTTGGAGTAATTATTTCTGTTCCTCACAAACACAGTCATTCCCTTCCTATTCAGAGATAGTCTGACAAGGTCCAGTTGAAACAGAAGGTCTTTAGCCTTTACTCTTTCCCAAGGTAATAGACTTCAAATACTTGCCTCCTCCATTCAAAGAACGATATAGTTAAAAACATTTACATCAAAATTTAGTTGAAGACTTTCAAGCTTTCCTGCTCAAAAAGAAAGTCCTACATCTCATTTTTCATGCTTGCAGTGCATCAACTGATGATGGCTTCATCACTGAAGGTGCCATCTCTATGAGCTCCCTATCTCTTCCCTCTTCAGAGCGAGCCCTTCTGTGCTTACCTTCTCCCCATTCTCAAAAAAAATTCCTTAAAATTCTCAACTTTACATTTACTCATTTCTTTCCACGTATTACTACTATGAGATAGCCACATCTATTCATGTCGTATGAAATCCTTGGTTTTCAAAAATGCTTCCATTCCCACGGGCTCTAGCAAAGCCAGACTCCTAAAACCTGTAAATGACCACTGGCTGAATGGAATGATCTTTTTCAGTCTGCAGTTCTCTTGAATCCAGGCACTGTTACATTGCTAATCACCATTTGGACACATCTGTCTTCATATCACATGTGAAAATTGCCCAACGACCTGAAATCTCATGGTTTACTTCCTATTGCTCCCCAGATCTCCCTGGTTTCCCTTCACCCATGTACCCCTCAGACAGGCCTTCCTTTAAAGTCATCTCACTTATTACTCTTCTATGTGGCTTTAAACACTGAGTTGGCACAAAACAGGTTAAGGACTAAAGAATAATGATACAATAAACACCTGTATTCTTGTATTACTTTAAAAATTCCCTCTTTCATAGCTCATAGGTAACCACCATCATGAATTTTATCTCCTCCATTCCTGTCTTTTTTACAACTTCTACAAATGAATGTTCCAATAAGCAATGTATCATTTACATGGCAAGCTCTAAACTTATATAAATAGAAGCATACACACGCACACGCGCACACACACACACACAGAATCACTTTTTTGTTGTTCACTACTCCTCAGTCAACCATCTTGAGGGATGTAGCTATAATTCACTCACTTTCATTACTATATGATTCTCCTTCACAGACCTACCACATCTACTCATCCAGTCTACCAGTAATAACCAGTAACAGACAATTGACTGGTTTTTAGTAACATCATTGAGCTGTTAAGAAGTTAGGATTATGTCCCTCTCACACTACCTAGAAGTGAAATTTCTGAATTACTACATTTGTACGTCTTCAATGTTACTATATATTTTGGGAATGTTTTTCCAAGCAGCTCTATTGACCACGCTCAACAGCTAGAGTTCTGCTTTTGCTTCTTTAATTATTATTTTTATTTTATATGTATGTGTGTTACTGCCTGCATGCACATAAGTGTACCCGTGTCATGCAATGCCTGCGGAGGACAGAAGAAAGTGTCAGATCCCCTGGAGTTATGGATGGTTGTTAGGCACCATTTGGTGTTGGGATTTAAATCCAGGTCTTCTGTAAAAACAGCCAAGTGCTCTTAACAGCTGAGACATCTCTCCAGCCCCCTGCTTTTTCTTCTTCATTTATAAGGTTGGACTTTATTTCCTAGATCAGATGAATAAGAAATAGCATTTCTGGGGCTGGAGAGATGACTCGGCAGTTAAGAGCACTGGCTGCTCTTGCAGACGACCCAGGTTTGGTTCCCAGGACCCACATGATGGCTCACAACTATCTGTAACTCCAGTTCCAGGGAATCCAATGCCCTCTTCTGACCTCCGCAGGCAATTCAGGACTTAAGTGCACTTACATACATTCAGGCAATACACTCATACACATAAAATTAAAAAAAAAATTTTTTTTTAATCAAAAAATTTTTTTTTAAAATTTTAAAATATACTGTTTCTTACAGAAAGACTTATTGTTTTTACAACGAACACTGAGATGTTGACGCATCTCTAATCTGTATGTATCTGATTATTGCTAGTCATAATCGGTTGCACTCGGATCCTTGGCACCTGTGTATGTCTATAAAGTCATCGGGTAGATTTCAATGGTAATGTTTATTAC